CATCCGTCCGTCGATTGCTTCCCCTCCCCTGTTCTGGCCACGAGCAAAGGCAGTACCGCAGAGCAGCTCCGTCGTTGCTTGGTCTCCAACAGAGTGATAGGGATGATGGAGGAGAGTCAAATATGGTGATGGAGGAGAGTCGCAGTAGAGTAATTGAAAAAATAAGAAGAAATTAAAGAAGAAGAAGGAAAGGGAAAGGGGGAAGAATGGGGCGGCGGTAGCAGGGAATGGGGAAGGAAAGGGAAAGGGGGAAGAGTGGGGCGGCGGTAGCAGGGAATGGGGTAGGGTTTTCACTTTTTTCGGTATATATATAAAATATAAAACTACTAATTGGTATATGAAGGGTAAATTTCATTTTAGCCATTAAATTACTATTTTATAAGGTACCGGTTCTCTAACGGTTTTTTAACGATCTAATAGCGGTTAGACCACTAAAGTGCAAGCCGTTCCCGTTACCGGGTCAAGCTCCGGTTCGGTTTTGACAACATTGATTTAAATGGATTGGATTAGGTGGATATTTTTAATGGGTTGGTGGATTGGATTGATAATTGTCACCTCTAAAAGATACTTAATTAGTGGATAAATTTTATATATCCGAGGTGAAAATTGACACATATCGTATCCCTTACAATGATCATATTCTCTAATCATTACTCATTTTCATGTGATTGTTCGTGAAGTCTCGGTCGAGGATCTTATATCAAAATTTGCCTATCAAGACACTCAAATTTAATATCTTATACAATATGTATCAATCACTAATTCTTGAAGTTTGTACTCACCCTCAACCCATGGTTGTTGTGTACATGTTGGTTTAGAATCTTAACCCAACACACTCACACACGCTATCAAGGATTCCTGTCTAGATATGGTCATTTAGTGTATAATTTTCCAACTTTTTAATGCGCATTTCCCCCTTTATCTTTGGTGTTTGTTCTGGAACAAAAATTTTATTACTTATCTTAGTAACTGATAAACCGTGTCTACCGTGCACACGGATTTTAGGTGCATTTAAAACAACATATCGTTTGAATAATTAATTTATAATTTTTTAAAAAGTTGATTTTTTATTAAAGATTTTTTACAATTCATACAACAATTATGGCATTTCGCATACATATAGATTCATGGATATATTATAGACACATCTATTATTAATATCTAAATACAAATCGCTTACTGTTACAAACTAAATATTTATGTTGACACTTTGATATCAGAAATTTTTGTTATTATCAAAATTTGGTATGGAGTCACAGGCTCACAACCATACAACCAAATGACTCCTTACAATTGCCTTGTTGAACTCATCCTTATTAAAGATTCTTCATTTTTAACACAATAACTTGATTTAGACTTTTGTAACTATAAATGCTTTTAGTATAAATATCTCAACCGACAAACAAATGTTTAGCTATTGTTTTAATTCTTGAATTTATATTTTTTTACCAATACATTCGACTATTAAACGAAAATTTCCAGCCATTGTTTGATCAATACCTAGGTCAGTGGTTGATGAAACGTGATGTTTACCGTACATCGTCTACAAATACTTCTCTATCCAGACCTTTTGTTATATGATACTTGTACATTTGTTAAAATTCTATCCAGACATTTTGTTAGATAATACTTGTTTTATTTTACAGACATATATATTAGAAGAGAGAATGTTTGATAGTAAAAAATATAAAATAATATAGTTCATTTATTAAAGTCAATTGGTCATCAAACAACTTTTTTCTCTCTTTCCATCATTATATTTGTTTGATCGAATGAAATATTATTACTTATGTGTGTATTTTTCTAATTTTTTATTAAAATATAAATTATAAGTTCTAGTATAAATGAGTAGAATTTGACTTAAAGATGTAATAATATGTTTTCAGTTAAAAAAAATGTGATAGATGTCACTTCACAAACATTAGTCTATCATTGCATATATAATGCAAAAGAAAAAAGAAATTATTGATTGAAAGTAAAAACTATTAAAAGAAGAGAGATAACTCCATAAATATGTCATTAACTAAAAAAAAAATTTCAAAAAAATTGTCCACTTTGGCAACTTGTGAGTTCTTCAAATGCTTATGTGGCAAGAAGTAACTTTTGAACAAACATAAGATAAGATAAGATAAGATACGTGGTCATTAACTTGACACATAAAATATGAAATTTCCACTCTTGTATTTAATCAATTGATCATATCTCACAATTGACAATCATAATTTTATCAGGGCGGCGACCATTTCATCTCCCGTGACTCGATGGAGTGTTTAAATGTACTAGTGTGGGCCCCGACCATTTGTTTGGAGGAATATGAGGTATGAAATTTGATAATGTAATGGGGTGTGTAGCTTATTGTTGTATAGTTTTTTTTTTTTGGAAAACACATTATAAAAATAGTGAATTTTAGTAGGAAAGAGACATGAATGATGCAATGAATAAAAAATCAGCCTCATGAACCAAAATCAAGTACCTGTTTACTTGTGAAACAATATTGTTTTTGGTAATATGATGAAGTGAAGTAAGTTTTATAGAAACCGAATTCCCGAAAATCGAATAAAAAATCGCCTATCCCGCCGGTTTTCGGGAAATGAGCATCTCACAATCGTTGCTAGCTTTTACTCGGCCCGTTGCCCGATTAATTTGCTTTATAAAACTTTCATCTTGTCATCATTGTGCTTTCTGGTTTTTTGCCAAGCCATGATAAAATCTAAAGAAATCAAGAATGAACAACACGATTTGGGATAGGAACCACCGTTCCTATATCCCTAGAAAATGGTGGTAAACACGGACTCACCTGCCAAACTGGTTTGGATTGAGATTTTTATCGGATATCAGGGAACCATGTGATTATAAATTAGACTTGATCAAAACGGGTCAAAACTTGAAATTCAGCCTGTTTGACCGACCCATGCCAAACTCTAATTATTCTTTACTTTTTAACTTTCTATTTGAAAATAAAAAAATAATGAAAGAAAAGAGATGACTGCAATTCGCCATTTGCACATCATTGATTCGGGAATAAAACTATAAATTTTCGAAAGGAAACTGAAAATGTTTAGGATCGTTTTAATGTTAAAAATAACCAAACAAATCTTTCTGTTTAGTTTTTTTACTAACAAATACCAAACGATTCCCTATAATATACGCTATAATTTAATCATTATGATATCAAATAATTATATAATATATATTTGAAATGATAAAAATTGAACTAATTTTGTTGGTCGAGGTTGAACCATTGAATAACTTTAAAATACATTATATTTTAGCCACTAAGATATAAAATAATAGCATAATATATATTATGCTAGAGAAAATAGCTTGTTTTAGAATGGCAAACCCATGATGTTCATTTGTTTTACTTGATGGGCAAATCCTGTGTAGGTCAGCCCATTCAACTCATTTATTTTATGATTAGCGGTTAACCCATTAGAATCCATGCATTATTTTATTGTTAATTTTTTTTTCTTTTTAGCAATAAAAAGGAGTATTGTTTTTGCCTTTTCATATATATTTTACCACCATGGAGAAATAAAAGGACTTAAAGAAAAAATTGACACTCCTGGACTCGTTTAAATCCGCATGTGTACGGTATGTTGGCCCGTTCCACAGAGGAAAAAGAATAAAATTGACACTCTCTATTCTACCCTTCCTACAAACGCTCCTGGAGCAGAGAATTTGAAATGGGGAAAGGATTTTCTCTGCGATTATATGTTTTTAATTTAAAAAAATACAAAAAATGTACTTAGTGTGATTGGTTATGATCTTTGCTTTTCTTTAAAGTGATCATGGCTCAAATCCTAGTAAGTGTCTTTTTAATGAATAAAAAAAAGTAATTGTGAAGACCAAAATGTCCTTCTTACTTTTACTCTGGATGCAAGAAATTTGAAATGAGACTTCAAGTTTTTTCATTTGGCTTTTATTTATTGTGTAGAAATGTTAAATTACGGCTCCGTCTATCAAACTAGTGGTGTTCAAATGGTTACCATGGTTATTACCAAACCAAATAAGGCTAAATTTCATTAACCATGGAATGCAATATCATAACCAAACCATCCAAACTAATACAACAACCAAATTAACCAAACTAAAGTTTAATCGGTTTGGTTAATTGGTTAACCAGATTAACCAATATAAAATCATATTATCATCAAGTGAGAAAAATTTCGGTTAATTTATGAATTCACAACTTATATAATGAATAAAACATAACAATCAACACATAGTTATAGTTGACCCTTAACATAAATACATGCAACTAAGAAAATTACGGTTAGTATAGAAGTATTCACCTAACAAAAATTTATCACAATGGTATGGATTAATGAATTGTTGTGTTTGTTTGAATTGACTTAGTCTTTTAGCAATTTTCATAGCTTGAAAAGGACCTTGCTTTCAAGTTTTCATCCAACATAATGTATGAGATTTATCTAAATTAGGCAGTCATATGTTGTGGTCTACACTCTACATATATAAATATACATTATAGGAACAATATAAAGCTTTATATTTTATGAGTCTAAAAGGATGAACGTTTAACTCTTGAGTGATTATTCAAAGTATTAAGTATGTGTATATATTAGATATATAATTAATTATTTATCTGGTTAATTTGGTTTGGCTGGTTATGAGTGTCTGAAATCAAACCAAACCAACTAAACCAAACCAAACCAAACCAATTATCCAAATTAACCAAACCAAATTATCCAAATAGTACTGATTAAAACGGTTAACATGATAACCACACCATTTGAACACCCCTATATCAAACTGCCTGGAATAAGTTCGTAATCTCTCTTTGGTGGTAAGGACTCAGGTCATGCACTGACCTAAGTAAGTTATGTGCTTTGATAGAGCACAATGTCCGCGATGCTTTGCTTGGACTGGACTACTAATGTAGGAGTAGAACGAAACCTCCTAACCACGAGATTCATGCTTCACAACAGAAATGAAAACGACGACCGGACCACCAATCAAGGTACGGATCTGGCGAGATCACGGATATGCTGTGCAATGCAATACGACAATTCAATTACTCATTCTTCATAAGATATGCTCCCTAAATTTCTTCACTCAGAAGTCGGAACATAGTATGGCTAGGAACCAGGGGGCTTCATCAAATGATGATAACAATTTTCTTACACAATGTTACTGGCTATGACACCGAATTCGACGAGGGCAGGCTTCAGGGAGTTATTAAGTAAACTCGGGATCCCAGGTGCCGGACCTGAAGATTGGCACCTTCGCAACCACTGAAGAACAGGGATTCATCCTCCTTCCCTATTCGCCTTCTCCAGCTCATTACGAATGCTGGCCTTGGAACACGTTCAACCTCACCTTCGCCTCCTACCGGAAGGGCAACGAGAATTGTTATCAGGATGAGTTTTGAAGTTTTCGCGTCGGGGTTGTACAAATATAAAACGTAATACATGTTTTAGATTGTTACCTCTATTTTCTTGCTTCTCCATGGCGGATGCTGCTGCCTCTGCTGCCTTTTTTGCCGGCTTGTAATTTTGGAGCAGAAACTTGAGAGTCTTTATCAAGTTTCCGTACTGTTTCACATCTGACAAGCATAGCAATGTGCAAGGAAACGTCTGAGGTAAAGGAAAACATATGTCCAATTCAATAGCAACTACTTGCGCCATGAAGTTCAACCTCTTGAAATGCATCTACTCGATCAATGAAACACCCAAAAACAGAAACATGATTTCTTGATACTCCAAAACTTGTTTTTAAATTTAAGCACTTACATAGTAGTATGTCACTGGCTACGACAAGGTCCCAATCAGGATTACAAGTCGGAAAGGCATCTCCCCATGTATCTGAAAACGGACAGTAGCAATGCAAGATCAGCCTTAGGAGTATGTTTAGGTTCCCCACGAGTACAGGAACTACTCAAGGTAATCATCCAGAATAGTCGGCCCCTGAGCCAGATTTCAGGTAATCGATGAACTATTGCAGTGATTAACAACCACATTTCTGACATTTCCCTCTTCCAGACACTCATTTACACTTCTGAATGTTAAGGAACGCAAAAAATAACCTCATACACACACTTTGGAGCAAAGATATCCGTGAAATAACTTAAAGAGCACAAAATTTCTGAACCAGGTAAAGGAGAAGGCAAGAAGAACTCACGCTTAATGTGGGGAAGAACAGGTGTGACTCCATTCTCTCTGCAGTTATGAGCTATGTTGTCTTCTATCTCCTGATCGTCATAATCCGATGTCGTGATGTCTAGGTCAAATGACTTGCGGAGAAAAATAGCCAAAGCTCCAGTCCCACTGCCATTATATGGAAACCGAATCATATCAGCAGCAGAAAAGTTCCAAACTTCCCTTACTACAAGTCCAAAATTAGCAGTAGGAGACATGGAAGCAGCATTGGAGCAACAAGCCAAGACACTGGAAAGAACAATCTCCGACCTTAGATTCCATTACACCTAGAATCTAACATTCACCTGCCTAGCTCAATGCATCGCCGACCATCAATCAACAATCGGTTGTGAACCAACCATTCCGCGAACGAAAACGACCCTGGCCACAGCAAATTAGCATTCAATTGATGAAAAGAAAACTCTCTGACCACCAAATCCTGCACCCAGAAAGCAAAATCGCCAAACGAACTCGAGGTAAAATAAGATACGCCAAATGTTGAGTATGAGTAACGAGAACCATCAAACAGTAAATATCTACTACAGCAGGGCTCTAATCGTTCGGTGTATTAAGCTTTGGGAAAGCGATGAAACGGAAAGGGAAAAGGAATTTCGATACCATTCCGGGGAAACTGTGCTGCCTCTCCACGTAGCTCTGCTGGGTTTCCGTTGTCTCCTCATCTGACAAAAACAAACATTAATCACTTTAGGAGATGACTATAGACTCAAACCGAAGAGCTTATGAGACTGGGAGAGACAGAGGGATAACCAGAGGCGTCGTCATCATCGGCGGCGAAAAGCGCAGACGGGGAGAAGACCGCTATGTCCATTTTCCGAGCTGCGGAGAGAGTCTTCGCCAGCATCACCGTTCCTGACTTCATCGGCGGCTCTTCCACTTCGAGCTCGTTGTATGGGCTATGGGCCAACCTCACACGGCACTAAATGGGCCTTGTAAGTCTTATTCACTGCAGGCCATGTATTCATCGGCCTTACATTCCGAGAGTTATGTCAACTGTTACGGGCCTCATTTATGGCCCAACACTTCTACTTTCAATTGTTGTCCCGTAGGATTGCAAATTTGCAATTACCCTCATGAGTTATTTTACCCAAATTCAAATAAATCCATTGATTATGGGTAGGAACTTAGGATATGGATTAAGATTATATGGATTTAGAGGACGGTAGATGGGTTTGGCTTGGATTTGGATATTGCTTCCATAATTTAAATTGTTATGTGTTGGATATAGATACCCATTTAGTTGAGTGTTTTAACTACACATAGAAAAATTAGAACCATTTGTAAAAATTAAAAATTTTAGGTATAAAAATGTAATACCTACAAAATTTAGGTACCAAAACATATATTGCCATCGATATTTTGCTGAATCGTTATTCGTCGCCCTATAATTTAATTTTTTCGCCCTAATCATACTACATTGATGTTTATACCCCTATTTCTAATTTCAATCCCCAATCCCTAACTTCCCCACCGGCCCCTATTTCCAATCTCAATCCCCAACCGCTTGGCGGCGGAGTCACAGCCACGAAGAAGACCGCAATATCGGGGAAGGTGATGACGGAGCTCGCCCTCCTCATGGGGAACGCGTGAGGTACACATTCCCCAGCTCTTCGTCGGTGGGGAGCGGCGAGTGTCAGCGGCCGATTTGGAGCTACTGCACTTCGCGAGGAAGAAGCTCGGGCAGTGAGAACATGATCTCCGTCGCATTGATCGGATCCCTGAACTGCCTATATGTGGGTTTCTATGCAAGTAAAGGAGGCATTTCACAAATTCATTAGGCAACCAGTAGCTTAGTTCCTCTTTATACTTGACAATCCGTAGCTTCTCTGAAAGATTGAGAATGCGAATTTGTTAATTATCCCAAAAGATCAATGGCCATTCAAGAATTATGGGTGTTCGCATAGAAAACCAACATCGCCGTCCTCCCGCTCTTGATAAGCGGGCCAGTGTGCTGGAGAAGGAGTTACCCATTTCAATTCCTCTGTTTCTGGTGAATCGGTGGTCTGTTCGCCGTCGATTGGATGAAATTGAAATCACAAAGGACATTAGAGTAAATTTAACACAATTAGGGTGACAAATAAGAATTTTTAGGGTGACGAATAGCAATCCCCATATTTTGAGGACTTATATGCAAAAAAAAAAAAAAAATTAGGTGCTAAATATAAATATCTATTAAGTTTAGGTACCAACCTGTAATTTTTATATTGGTATGTGTGAAAACCCAAATCCATGTATTGAAAACCCAAGTATTTGGGTATGGGTACAAAGCCATCAAACTCTACCCATATACAATCTATTTGGATTTTATACCCAACCCAATTGGGTTGGATAACAATATACCATGGGTATGGGTAAATTGCCATGCCTAGTTGTCCGGCACTCCGGCTTAGTCTCTCTTAGTTGTAGGACAAAAATAAAATGCAATTGCTACTAGGATTGCGATTGTGAGTATTATTCATTGCATGCCATGTATTCATCTTTTTTTGGTAGAAAGATAGACGCATAGCATTTAGGTCACATTGGTAATATAACGTTTATGGGAGACTCCCATTATATTACATCAGGCTAGATCTAATGGACCAAGTCCCTATCACACACATTGAAAGGGGGCCAAAATCATAATCGTGAGCCTTGCTAGCTAAGAAATCGGCATCAAAATTGACTTCCCTATACACATGAGACAAACAAACGTGCCATTGCAGATTCAAAAGGTGGTTGAATTGCCTGGCATTGCTACCATTGTGATGGTCATCCTCGTCCATGTGATTGATGATGTTGATAGCTGTTGTAGAGTCGATGTTGATCTAGATTTTGTGGTAGCCTTCCTTCCAAGCAATCTTCACTCCCTCCATCACTCCTCATAACTCTGTTGCAGTCGATGTAGCCAAAATCGAGATTTTATGTAGAATAAAAAACAGAGATAAAGTCGGAATCGTAGATTAAAGTCATAAAATCGTAAGATTTAATGGTTCATATTAAATTGAACACTTAAAACTCCATAGAGTAATAACAATGCATATATTGTATAACAGTCAACCACATATAACTTAAATATTTCCCAACATAAGTTTGTTTGTTAAATAAACAAAAAAAAAAATTCATATATTTATTCTTGTACATAACATAAACACACAAATAAGCAACATGAAACCTCATAGGAATTACTTAATCTAGTTAATAGCTAAGGAAGAAAGCCACATAAAATTGTTAGGATCAACATTAGCATCCCCCACACATCATCATCATCATCATCCTCATCCTCATCCTCATCCTCAGCCTCACTCACATCCTCGCTCACATCCTCGTAGAATCCTTATCTATTTGCTTGAGCAATAATATCATTATTCTCGGGATCACTTAAAGTAAGTTCACCATTGAACATAATTCCTTGATAACCATCATCTAGAAAAGGTTACTGATGATTGATGCATTCTCTTCCTAATCGATAAAAGATCGGGGATGGTGGTGCTGAAGTTTGCGAAGATGAACGAAAGCTTGCAAGGGAAACATTGGCTAATTGCAACGGTGGTGGGGAACAAACTCCGAACTAATTGTGAGGGTGGACGAAATCGTTGATGGAAGGAGTTGGGTGTCGACATGCGGAAGATGAAGAGATGAGGAAGAGAACAAACATAAATTGAGGGTCACCTATCGGGTTAGGGTTATGTTGTTCATGATGTTGGGTTGGGGAAGTGAACTTGACACGTTTCGTGGGAACAACCCAACCTGACCGGCCTGATTTTGCTCCAATTGACATGAGTCTTGAAATCATACAAAATCGTAGATTTTGAGGATTTTACAGGTTTTAAATCGGGATTTTATGGGATTTGAAGGTTCAAAGATTTTTTAGTAAAGTCAAGATCGGAACCCATAGGTAAGATCGTAAAATCAGGATTTTGACTACATTGGCTGCAGTGATTGAGCATCTGTCAAAATTGCATATATAGGCTCCCAAGCATCTCTCAGGTGGCCTCTGAACAGTGCTCCAATAACTGCTCTTCCACTTGGAGAAAGGTTAGAGCCATCCACTGCAGCTGAATCCAACCTTCCTCTGGCGGTTTTCAGTCAACAGAGCAGCTCTGTTTTTTCCTTTGATTCATAGCAGTAGTCTTCTGAGTATTAACATAAGCTTGTCCAACAATGTTGAACCAGGCTTTAATCCTTGCAATTAAACCATCTTTGGATAAGGCATGTCCTTCCATGACCTCTTCATTCCTTTGTTTCCATAGCTGCCAGCAAATGATGCCAAACTCATTAGCCGTTGATTCTTTTCCGATGTTGGAAGGTAACCATTCATTGAAATTCATGCTCCTGTTGTTGGTAGCATCTTTGGTATGGAATTTCTCCCAAATGGTTCTGGCTTTCCTGAATTTTTTTAGGATGTGCTCGATTGATTCTTCTTCTTCTTCTTCTTCTTTGCAGTGATTGCAAAGGTTGTTTGTTGTTAGCTTCCTTCTTACCCCTTCTTTGTTATTGAGCAGGCGATCATGTGTGACGAGCTAAAGGAAATGTTTGATCCTACTTGTTCAGTACTTGGAAATGGTGTTAGATCAATGGAGTTAAAATATTTAAACTATAAACTAGCCCCAAAGGTGAATATTTACTAGTAGAATGAACAACTCTATTATATGCAAACTCCACATGCTGCAAAAAATCTTTCCACGTCTTGATTTTACTCTTGATGATGCCTCTACGCATTTGATACAAAGTCATTTTAACTGCTTCAGTTTGCCCATCAGTTGAGGATGACTAGTGGTAGAAACAACAATTTCATCCCAAGCTTACCCCACAAAGTTTTCCAAAAGTAACACATGAAATCTAGGCATCACGATCAGAAACTATGGCCCTAGGCATACCATGCAAACGAACCACTTCTCTAAAGAACAAATCAGTCACGTTGGATGCATCATTAGTTTTACGACATGGAATGAAATGTGCCATCTTAGAGAAAAGATCAACAACAAAAAATATAGAATCTCTACCACATTTAATACTAGGTAATCCCAATACAAAACCATAAGAATATCAATCCAAGGGCTAGTAGGAATAGAGAGAGGAGTATATAACCCGGTTGGTTGAACCTTGGACTTGGCTTTGCGGCAGTCCAAGCACCTAGCACATATTATCTCTACAACACTTCTCATATACCGCCAATATAAGTGTTCTTGAACAATGGAACGTTTTGCATACACCAAAGTGTGCCATAAGACCTCCACCCTGTGCTTAGCTGATAATCGATTCCCGAATAAAAACATTGGGAACAAAAAAATTATTAGCTCTAAATAAGTATCCATCATAAATATAATACTTCCCTTCACCATGCTTATCACACAACTTACATATTTTTCCTAAATCAACATCATCATTATAAGCACCTTGATATGTTCAAAACCAATAAACCAAGCATTAAAGATGTGATAAGAGTGCACCTTTGAGAAAAGGCATTGGCTACCACATTCTCTTTACCTTGTTTATAGCGAATTACATAAGGGAAGGACTCTATAAACTCAACCCACCTAGCATGGCATTTGTCCATCTTATGTTTAGAGTAAAGATACTTGAGTGATCCATGATCAGTATGGATCACAAATTCCTTTGGTCATAGGTAATGCTACCACGTTTCTAAATCTCGAACCAATGCGTATAACTCCTTTGGCCATAATATTTTCGTTGTCTAGGGAAGAAAGCCCGTGACCTCGACCATGAAACTTTCTGTTTCTTCTTGTGCATAGCCTCCTTCAATTCATGGCCAAGGTATTAGATATCCTAGTCGTGAACTTCTAGCTTGTTGTGCGATCTCATCACAACGCTGGCACTTCACATTCGTGATTTTCCTCCTATTGCATGTGAACTGAGGAATGCCTTATTCTCTACACTTACGATCTTGAAACCTCGTCATTTTAATTTGGAACTCGCGATACCACCAAATAATCAATATATAGATGCGAGGGAG